GCTATGCCGACCTCTAAAGTACCTCAAATCGGACGCGCTGACCTCCCTTGTCTCCCTGCCAGCCTCGCTAACCACCCCTGCCCTCGATTTCAGACGCCCTGACCTCCCCCATATATCCTCCGCCCCCAATTTCAGTCGCGCCGATATCTTTCGTCCTCCCCTTGGTTTTGTGGTTTTCGAATAGTCTTGGGTTAATGGGGTATTTTCGAAGGGGGTTTTTATCGAGGGTTAGTTGGCTGGCGGTAGGCGTGGTTAGGTGGCGGCGGTTTCGGGTTTGGGTGGGATGGTGGTTGGATGGTGGTTATAGGTTTTGGATTTGGGTTTGGTTGGTGGTGGTGGTGGTGGTGGTGGGGATGGTAGTGTGGCTGAAGTGGTGGAGCTTGTTGGTTTTTTTTTAATTAATTTTCTTTTTTTTAATTTTTTTTTCAACAATCAAGAGGCAACAAGTGTAAATTAATTTTCCCCTAAAAAAATTGTAAATTAATTTTTTTTTTTAAAAAAAACAACAACAAAAAACTTATTCAACTGGTTACAAGTCACCTGGGACCATTTAAAGACGACTGGCATTAAATGTCGGATTATTAAAAAATAATCCAAAGGTGGGATTATGTTTAGCAGACGGCCCAAAGGTGGGATTATTCCGGGCAATTTTTCCTTATAATAATCATAATAATAATTATAATCAATAATCATCATCATGTTAAAGCATAATAGCAATCCTAGACATGATACTAACAAGATTAATAATAAACCCTAGCATGTCACTAAACAATAAAAATCAAAGCTTTAATCCTAACATGATACTAACATGAATATTAGGAAAGAATATAGGAAGCATCGCAGGAATCATAATAAGCATATTTGATATTATAACCTTTTCCCTAAACATAATAATACTAGGAATCATTGTTGTTGTTCAAAACATCAAGCATCCTAACATGATACTAGGAATCATAATAACAACCTAGACATGATTTCTATATCATAATATCAATAAAATCAATTAAAGCACTTACTTGGATGCCTTGTATCTTTTTCTAATAACATAATATACACGCGTTAATAACTTCAAGAAAAATAATAAAACAACAATTAAATTAAATAATTTAAAGTGAGATTTAGGACCAAACCCTCAAAAATTATTAAACCTTTCACGTCTAGGGAGAAGGAAACTTCGAACATTTCTAGGTGTGTCTAGTGCTAATGTATGAGGAATTTTGTTTGTAAAAAGCTAGGCTTAGAAAGAGAAAGAGAATCAAGAAATACTTTATGAGAGTTGGTGATAATTGATGAAAATTGATGATGAAAATTGATTATTGTTGAGAATTGATGATAATTGATGATTTCAAAAAGGGGAGATATGACCTCTATTTAGAGAGAAAAAAGAGGGTCAAAGAATAAGAAGAGAATCCGAATTCGAATCGAAATAGAACTCGATGGACATCAGTTTTTGCGGATTTTGTTTTTATCAAATCTTTTGATCCAGAAGTCCAAATAAGGCATATGATATGTCGTTAGAAAGCTCTTAAAGTATACTTTATAACCCAATTAGAATCAGATTAAAATATTTTGTAGATAAAATATATTACCAAAATAGTGGGACGGTGTCAGTTTTGGATAGAGTTTCATATCTCATTCATATCTTTTTCATTATAGCTCGGAATTAATATTATAATATATCATTGGAATGATAACTTCAAGATCTATCCAACCATATAAAATTTATATAAATATTATGAGTCACAAAAATAATATCTAACTGTCTTTGAACATCTTTAAATTCGAATAGAATTAGGATTTAAGAAAAGGAATGTTTTAAAAAAGGAAAGTTTATATTTAACTCAAATTCTTTAATCTTATCTTTTCAAAAAGGATAATTAAGATCTTTTAGAAACTTATGGAAGGTTCTAATAAATCCTAATTAGTTTAGGAATAGGATTAAACCTTTGGACCCTCCACATGATCATTGGGTCGTAGGTAAAATCCGGTTTGCGCCCAATTTAGTATTTTGGCCATAACTTCCTCATTATTCATCGGAATCGAGCTTATAATATATCGTTGGAAAGATCTTTTTAAGCCTAATCCAACTACACTATTATTGGACCCATATCATGGACCAAAATAAACTGGAATGCACGTTTTTCATAAATAAGGTAAGAAAAAAGAAATATTTTCAAAAACAGAAAGAAGATATATTTTAATAAAAACATCCTCATCACTAGACTTTTCACACTTTCGTCTTGTTCGATAATAAAATTACATGAAAGGTATTCATCATTGGGTTTGGTTTTCGGGAGACACATTTGGGTGTCTACACACATCATATCACATTTCACCCTTCAAATATGCAATCCTTTGTTGGTAAACCACTTTGAGCCTTGTCTAACGATAGACCCTTCATTTTCAACCCATATCTACCTAACTTTGGGATGGGATTGTGTGCAACTTATGCAATTTTCAATTTCATAAAAAGCTTGAGTGACTTCAAAAGATTAAAATAGCAAATAATAATAATAATAATAATAATAATAATAATAATAAAGTACAAAAGGGCAAATGTTCCAATGTCTTTGATATGAAAATATCTTCGATAAGAACACGTCACGGATTGCGTTTCTTATCTAGTGCTCGGTACCGTGCCTGAAAAACATGAATGTCAAGTGAGTGATAGACCGCATGATCGGGATTGTCCACACTTATAAAAACACAATAAATAAAGCCAAAAAAAAACAAAAAGAGCTGAAAAAGAGTGAGAAACCTCAAGCATGAAAATACAAATATTCAAAAGCAAAGTTGCACACCTTGGGGGCTTGATAAGCCGTCTTATCAAGGGTTGAGAGAAGAGTTTTAGGGTGTGTTTTGATGTTGTGCATGAGTTTTTAATAGCTTTTGTGAGTTTCGGGCGGTGATCTCACTTGTGTGCAAAAGCCGGGATTTATAGGTGTTAGTGAGTGAGTTCGGGAACTAATGAGGAGGATTATAGAGTATGGACCTTAGCTCGTGATTTGAGAAGCGTGATGGAGCTTGGAAGAGCAAGGGAGAAAGCTTGAGTAAAGGTGAAGCAAAGCTAGAAGAAAGAGCAAAGAAGACAGCAGAAGACAGCAGAACCGCTGCCAGGGCCGCTGGCAGCTGGCCAGAGCCGCTGGCAGCGGGTCAGCCAGAGAGGACGAAGTGTTTTGCTGCTTTAGCCGCTGCCAGCGGGTCCCGAGCAGCTGGCAGCGGGTCTTCCAGATTTCGGGGCCTGTTTTGGTTATTTTTCAGTAGTTTGCTTTGTCTTGGCTCGTGTTTTGTATTTATTTATTATTTTTATTATTGTTTTATGTTATCTTAAGTATGGAAACATATATATAGTCTATTTTTATGAAGAGTTAGAAGAGGTTAATTGAGGAGAATTAAGTTAGAGAGAAGTAAAAGTTTTCTAGGGTTCTTGGCAAATTTCAGAAATCATTGTTTTTGAATTAGAATCCATGGAAGCTTAATCTTCCGGATTCTTGGTTAAAGATTGAAGCTTTTGGCTACGAATTGTGAGATTTCTCTTCTCTTTATTATCTATTGAATGTTTATTATTCCTTTGAATTATTTCATGATTTGCTTTAATCAATTGCTAGGTTAGAATTGTTAGATTCGCTTGCATCTAATTAATCTTTCCAAAGTAGCAACTTTGGGTTATGAATGCATGCTTTTGATTGATAACTTAAAGAGGGAATAATATTATTGAAGAAATTAGACCGCTTGTGTTAATTTATTCAATCCTTGTTGATTTCTCCGTTTATGTTCTTCTTGTGGATGATTTAGAGCGCTTGTCTTAAATTATACATTAGAAAGGGTTAGAAAGGAGCGCTTTGCTATTTCTAACTAGCTTATGAGAATTTAGAATTTAGAATTCTACAACAAGGTGTTCAATAGTGTTTGATTGAAGAGGCTTCTATGATCAATTTGTATGTTCAATTGTGGATTTCGCATAACCAAGACCGTTATTCTCATTGATTGCATACTATTTACGTTCATTGTTCTGATTTAGTTTAATTGTCACCATTGCTTGTCAAAACCCCCTTGTTACTTAGATTACTACGTTCCCAGAGTAATTCCACTTAGGTTTGCAGTTATTAGTCCCTTTTTCCCTGTGGATTCGAACTCGACTCCCCTAACTACGTTTATTTGCAGTTAGCTTAGTTGTGATATTTTTAGTTGCATACGACCGAGGCACACCAAATTTTGGCGCCGTTGCCGGGGAATTAAGGCGTTACTTTTTAATTGTTTATCTTAGTAGAATTTATTTTACGACTGTTCTTAGCTATCTTTCTTTGTTTGTTCGCTAGGGTATGATAAGTACCCGTTCTGCTAACAAAGAAGTTTTGCAGTTTGATCCAGAAATTGAAAGGAATATTTCCAGGTTGCGAAAAGAGGCAAGAACAACCCCCAGTGAATCAACGTACTCCTTCAATATTCAAGAAGAAGAGGAGATGGCTGACAATCGAACTCTAAGGGAACTCACAGCTCCCAACTTGAACCAACAACCGTTGTGCATTGCATACCAGAAGTTGGAGGAAGGTACTAATGTTGAGATCAAATCCGGTCTAATTCATCTATTGCCGGCATTCCATGGCATGAAAGGCGAAGATCCGAATAAACATCTGGCAGAATTTCATGTGGTTTGCACTAACATGAAACCGATTGGGATGACTGATGAACAAATTCAGTTGAGAGCATTTCCTTTTTCTCTCAAAGATGCAGCAAAGGATTGGTTTTACTATCTTCCCCCAGGTAGCATAACAACTTGGGCAGATTTAAAGAAGTGTTTCCTTGAGAAGTACTACCCAACCACTATTTCTGCAAGCCTTAAGAAAGCTATCAGCAATGTGGATCAGAAGGAAGATGAATCCTTGTATGAGTATTGGGAGAGATTTAAGAGATTGTGTGCTAGTTGTCCTTACCATGGGTATTCTGATCAAGACCTCATCCTATACTTCTATGGAGGTCTAACTGATGATGACTTGAGAATGGTGAATGCAGCAAGTGGTGGAGGGCTAGTGAATAAGACTCCAGGAGATGCAACTAGGTTGATTGCAGAGCTAGCAGAAAATTCTAGGCAATTCAGTCAGAGAACTCCCACGCGCCGGGTGAATGCAGCAAATTCAAATACGTCTGAGTTAGAAAGTCAAGTAGCTGATTTGACTTCTATGATGCGTGAGTTCATGGTGAACTCAAGGAATCCGCAGCAACTGAATGCTTGTGGTATATGCACCTCCATGGGACATCCCACTGATGCATGTCCTCAATTACAAGAGGAGCAGAATGAGCAAGCAAATGCAATGGGTTTCCAAGGGCAAGGTCCTCAGAGAAGATATGATCCCTATTCAAATACATACAATCCAGGATGGAGGGATCATCCAAATTTGAGATATGGGAACTCCCAAGGGAACCAACAACAACAAAATGCTCAAGGCCAGCAACAGTATCAGCAATATAGGGCACCATTACCTAAACCTCAAGGCCAAAGCTCAAATTCGAATAATATGTCAACTGAAGAAATGATTAGATCATTAACTTCTAATGTTTCTACTATGCAGCAAAATATGGTGCAATTTCAGCAAGAAACCAGATCAAGTATTCAAAACCTAGAGAATCAATTTAGTCAAATCTCTAGTGCAGTAAGCCGACTTGAAGCTAAGGACTCTGGAAAGCTTCCACCTCAAACGGAGTTGAGTCCTAAGCAACAAGCCAACGCTATTACATTGAGGAGTGGCAAGGAGCTGAAAGAGACTGAAATTGCAACCAAGAGGGCTGAAGAGTTGATTGGAGCTGAAGAGAAGGAAGTGGAACATGAAGCTGTAGCAAATCCTCCCACTTTTCCATCTTATGAACCCACACCACCTTTTCCTGAAGCTTTGAAAGAAACAAAGAGGTATGAGAAAGACAAAGACATCTATGAAACATTCAGCAAGTGTGAGGTAAACATTCCCCTTTTGAATTTAATAAAAAGTATTCCTCGTTTTGCTAAGTTTATGAAAGAACTGTGTACTATCAAGAGAAAGCATAGGTTGGGAGGAAAAGAGAAGGTAAAGGTGAGTGCTCATGTTTTTGCGGTTTTCCAAAAGAAAATCCCAGAAAAATGTGGTGATCCTGGTATGTTTATTGTTCCTGTTACAATAGGAGACACCACATTGCACCGAGCTATGTTGGACCTAGGTGCATCAATCAATGTCATCCCCTACTCCCTGTTTAAATCTTTAAAACTTGGACCTTTACATGGAACTGGGGTAGTGATTCAGTTAGCGGATAGGTCTAATGTGTATCCTAAGGGGGTGGTGGAAGATGTGTTGGTTAAGGTTGATGGTTTGATTTTTCCTGCTGACTTTTATGTGCTTGACATGGAACATGACAAACAAGCAGTCCCCATCTTGTTAGGAAGACCTTTCTTGAAGACTGCTAAAACAAAAATCGATGTGTCTACCGGTTCCTTGACTATGGAGGTTGATGGGAAAGCAATTGGGTATAACATTTATGATTCCATAAAGTATCCTGTCAACACTCATTCTTTATGTTCTCTTAATGTTGTCGATCCAATGGTGCATGATGTTCCTAACAATGATCGTGGGGATGAGTTCCTCACACCTATAACTAATGTTGTATCTGGTGATTGCTTGGATTTCTCTATGCCTACTAATGTGCAGGTGAAGGTGGGGGAATTGAATGAACATTCCAAGCTTCCACCTATACCACCAGGTTCAACAATCGGCCCGTCTGCAATTCCGGGCAAGAAATTGTCCCATTTATACCACAAAGCAAAGAATAGGTTGTGGCATGACAAGATGATTGCTAGGAAGAAGGTTAAAGTCGGTGAAAAAGTCCTCCTATAAAAATCCCGACTCAAATTATGTCCTGATAAACTCCGCTCCCATTGGGAGAGTCCATTTCAAGTGGTGAAAGTCTACCTGCATGGAGCGGTAGAAATTCAGAGCCTAGAGACCGACAATGTCTTCAAGGTCAATGGACAAAGGCTCAAGCCCTACTTCGATGGTTTCAAATCCGAGAACATAGAATGCATTGACCTCTATGAGCCTTCAACCGAGTAGCGAAGTGGGATGAGTTGAATGTAAAAAAAAATGAAAAAGGGAGTTTGTGAAGTGAGAAGGCGGTTAGTTGGTGGTTGCTAGGATGTCTTCTTGAGTTTGAATGCGTAGAGCTTGTTTGGTTCCGCCATCTTCTGTTTTGAACCTTAATGGGGAGATGTGTTCTATTCTCTAAGTTTACTCGAGGGCGAGTAAAGGTTCAAGTATGGGGGAATTTGATAAGCCGTCTTATCAAGGGTTGAGAGAAGAGTTTTAGGGTGTGTTTTGATGTTGTGCATGAGTTTTTAATAGCTTTTGTGAGTTTCGGGCGGTGATCTCACTTGTGTGCAAAAGCCGGGATTTATAGGTGTTAGTGAGTGAGTTCAGGAACTAATGAGGAGGATTATAGAGTATGGACCTTAGCTCGTGATTTGAGAAGCGTGATGGAGCTTGGAAGAGCAAGGGAGAAAGCTTGAGTAAAGGTGAAGCAAAGCTAGAAGAAAGAGCAAAGAAGACAGCAGAAGACAGCAGAACCGCTGCCAAGGCCGCTGGCAGCTGGCCAGAGCCGCTGGCAGCGGGTCAGCCAGAGAGGACGAAGTGTTTTGCTGCTTTAGCCGCTGCCAGCGGGTCCCGAGCAGCTGGCAGCGGGTCTTCCAGATTTCGGGGCCTGTTTTGGTTATTTTTCAGTAGTTTGCTTTGTCTTGGCTCGTGTTTTGTATTTATTTATTATTTTTATTATTGTTTTATGTTATCTTAAGTATGGAAACATATATATAGTCTATTTTTATGAAGAGTTAGAAGAGGTTAATTGAGGAGAATTAAGTTAGAGAGAAGTAAAAGTTTTCTAGGGTTCTTGGCAAATTTCAGAAATCTTTGTTTTTGAATTAGAATCCATGGAAGCTTAATCTTCCAGATTCTTGGTTAAAGATTGAAGCTTTTGGCTACGAATTGTGAGATTTCTCTTCTCTTTATTATCTATTGAATGTTTATTATTCCTTTGAATTATTTCATGATTTGCTTTAATCAATTGCTAGGTTAGAATTGTTAGATTCGCTTGCATCTAATTAATCTTTCCAAAGTAGCAACTTTGGGTTATGAATGCATGCTTTTGATTGATAAATTAAAGAGGGAATAATATTATTGAAGAAATTAGACCGCTTGTGTTAATTTATTCAATCCTTGTTGATTTCTCCGTTTATGTTCTTCTTGTGGATGATTTAGAGCGCTTGTCTTAAATTATACATTAGAAAGGGTTAGAAAGGAGCGCTTTGCTATTTCTAACTAGCTTATGAGAATTTAGAATTTAGAATTCTACAACAAGGTGTTCAATAGTGTTTGATTGAAGAGGCTTCTATGATCAATTTGTATGTTCAATTGTGGATTTCGCATAACCAAGACCGTTATTCTCATTGATTGCATACTATTTACGTTCATTGTTCTGATTTAGTTTAATTGTCACCATTGCTTGTCAAAACCCCCTTGTTACTTAGATTACTACGTTCCCAGAGTAATTCCACTTAGGTTTGCAGTTATTAGTCCCTTTTTCCCTGTGGATTCGAACTCGACTCCCCTAACTACGTTTATTTGCAGTTAGCTTAGTTGTGATATTTTTGGTTGCATACGACCGAGGCACACCAGGGCTTATCTAGGGTCTTGAGCTTTTATCCCTTTCTTCTTCAAACATGTAGCCTAACCACGTTACAACCCTTAAAAAGACCCTTTTGAGGTATACACACACGTGTGCGAGGTTCAACTAGAGCTACGTTTGGCCTAATTCCTAACGGATACGTAGGCAACCTCACACCGAGGTACGGTGCGGCCGTAATAAAAATTCATTCATATTCACATTCACATTCACACAGCATGGTCACATCAAGGAATCTCCTATGCTCATCCCTATCTACTTAGAGCTAGACTTGGGGACTTGATCCCTACATCATTAGCTTACCTAGTTTAAGAGTCACCATCATTTGACTCTTTTCAATATATATATTTTCCACACACTTAGCCCTTGCGGCCTAACTTCAATGTCACTTTCACACACATCACAGATACATGACCAAATATAGTCCTTCCCTTAGGAACCTTTTGTCATGAAATCTTAACACAACGCTGAAGCATACCTTGTCACGTCACTCATTACCAATCATCATTGCATCACAAAGTATGAAGTACTTAGCCTCCGCGCCTAAGTTATCTAAATACTTTCATTATCAAGTCAACTAGGATAGTCTAAGATGACACAATCCTTGTACTATGAGAGACTACATTAACATATTAAGCTCATTTAACATGCACCCTCAAACACTTTGATTCTTTTTCGCATCTTTCTATTTCGGGAGAGAGTCGGTACCCTCCACAAAAATGACGGAAATTTTTTTCTTTTTTGCATTTTCCGAGTCGCACGATCACATTACAATGCACACACTAGTCATGTACACATTGAGTCAACACTATGCACACACGAGTCACACGAAGCGAGTCATCATATAGTCAAACTTATACCTTGAGTCATGTCAAGTCAATGTGTCAAGCAACACTAAGTCTTAGGTCACCCTAAAGAAAGATAAGAAAAGTCCTATAGTCCAAAATATAAATGCAGATGCATCCCAGCAAGTAAGAACATTCTCGGATTTTTTCAAAAAAAACCGCGAATACATCGCATGAGACTCTTCCAAGATGAAAGGAGTTTGAGAAAAATTACATAGATCAGTAAATTAGAGATGAAGAGCTTTAATTTACAAAAGATTTGAGTGGATTTAGTTGAAAGGAAACGACCAAGTTCAAAGTTCAAAGCGAAACCGAGCAACGAACAACAGCAGCAAGGGCAAAATAGGGAAGACCCGACCCCAGCGCCAGATGACAAGGCTGTCGCTTGGCGGCAACATCTGTCTCTTGGTGACAGAAGCAAAGTGCGGCGCCAGAGTCTTCCAGCAGGCGCTGGTGCGGCGACACAATGTGCGGTCCCTGTTTGGGGGTTTTCTATGTGTCCTTCGGGAGAGTTACAATTTCCTAGCAGACTTCCTTCTTACGCCTGTACCTTCACCTAGCAGACTTCCTTCTTGCGCCTGTACCTGCACAAGTAACGGAGACTCCGGATGGGGGGTGGGAGTTCCGCCTCCGAAGATTAAGTTAGTATCTTTTCGAAGTGGAATAAGAACAGTAAAAGCTTCTCGGTTCGAGAGCGTTTCAGTAGGTTTTGGCTTTGTTTGGTTTTTTTGTGGTTGCAATTAATGTATGTGTGTCATAAATGAGGTCTACCCTTACTATTTATAGTAAGGGAGAACTGTACCTCAATTAGGGTATAAGGGACACGTGTCTGCAAAGGAATTGGGCCTTTGCAGACCGCTGAAAGATTGACACGTGTCAAGCCTTTATTGGGCCACGTGTCTTAGGGTATTTTCACCCTAAACATCTGCCCCTCACAGGTGAGATGTGGCAAACTCACGTGTCATCTGTGACAGACGTAGGGTGCATGGGGTAAGTGACGGTTCGTCTGCTTCCCCCCTCTTGAATTTCAAATTTTCGTGCAGAAGGTGACTGTTCGCCTTCTGCCTCTTTCTATAAGTAGGGTGGCTACCTCTTTCCTCCGCACTTTTTATTTTCAAAAATTTCCTGAGAAGAAGCTCTGATACCGGCTGCTTCTTTCAAGACTTTCGAGCATCCGGTTTTCGCAAGAACTTGACATCTGCCTTCCGGCTGAGTGCGGATTTAGTAAGGTACCGTCTGTTTTCTCCCTCTTTGCCCCTAGATTAAGGACCTCACTCGGCATTTTACCGCCTGGGTATATTTTGTCCAAAATTTCTGAATTACCCCTACCTCATCCAGGATTTCCCATGTGAGGTTTTTGAAATATGTCCCTAGTTGAAAAATGCCCTCATCCGTCATTTTTCCGCATGGGGCTGGCTTGGGACAAGTCCAAAAATCCCCCTCATCCGGCGTTTTGCCGTCTGGAATGTTTAATACACTCCCATCCGGCATTGTGCCGTATGGGACCCCTTTGAGCCAACTTTGTTTTTATTCAGACTAGTCATAAGTAACCCCATCCGGCCTTTAGCCGTATGGGGGTGGTTTGATCAACCTTTGCTTTCAAACATCTTTCAAATTGCCCCCATCCGGCATTTAACCGTATGGGGGTAGTTTGAGCAGCCTTGGCTTTTTCTCAAACATCATTCAAATTGCCCTCATCCGGCATTTAACCGTATGGGGGTAGTTTGAGCAGCCTTGGCTTTTTCTCAAACATCATTCAAATTGCCCCCATCCGGCATTTAACCGTATGGGGGTAGTTTGAGCAGCCTTGGCTTTTTCTCAAACATCATTCAAATTGCCCCCATCCGGCATTTAACCGTATGGGGGTAGTTTGAGCAGCCTTGGCTTTTTCTCAAACATCATTCAAATTGCCCCCATCCGGCATTTAACCGTATGGGGGTAGTTTGAGCAGCCTTGGCTTTTTCTCAAACATCATTCAAATTGCCCCCATCCGGCATTTAACCGTATGGGGGTAGTTTGAGCAGCCTTGGCTTTTTCTCAAACATCATTCAAATTGCCCCCATCCGGCATTTAACCGTATGGGGGTAGTTTGAGCAGCCTTGGCTTTTTCTGAAACATCATTCAAATTGCCCCCATCCGGCATTTAACCGTATGGGGGTCGTTTGAGCAGCCCTGGCTTTTTCTCAAACATACAAATAGCCCCCATCCGGCTTTTAACCGTATGGGGGTCGTTTGAGCAGCCTTGGCTCAAAACTGTTTCAAATTGCCCCCATCCGGCTTTTAACCGTATGGGGGTTGTTTGAGCAGCCTCGGCTTTT